AAATGCGTGGCCTATACGCGGATACTGCCTAGCACGTAGCTACCTACGACCGGATAATTTCTGCGCGGCTATCTAATTTTAGCGCGCGGATCTCGCCGATACGGCCGACGTGTTATGTCGCGACCGCGGCCGCGGACTCCCGCTCGAAGGACTCGTGTCACATTATCGATTCGAGTCTCGTGCTCCCGTGTAAATGTAAACGAGATCCGCGACACGGGATTGAGATTTTCATTCTCCACGAGCGCGCGCCGCCCGACCGACGATAAATGCGCTGTCGCCGATAAAAAAAAAGCAGAAATCGGATTTAATTAGAACAGTCCCGGCAAGATTCCAATCTACTCGTTAGAATACCATATCGGGGATGCTAGACGTATTACGGCCATTATCCTTCCTCGTTTAATTTCAGAGAGTCAGAAAAAATGACGGTAAAATGATATACAGGTATAAAATGCGATTAATATCGCTGCGATAATTTTTTGTTTGATGGAAATAACAATTCTAAAATTATGAAAAACAATGATTATCATATTTAAAATTGTAGCAAGAGTAGAAAAAATTCAGTATCGTAACTATAATCGACTTTAAAAGAAATCATCTAAAAATCGCATATTTTTATATTTCACATATGTACATATCTTTGATCATACGTATTATTCCTGTCGCCAAAAAAAAGCAGAAATTGGATTTATTTAGAACAGTTCCGGTAAGATTCCAGTCTTCTCGTTAGAATACCATATCGGGGACGTATTACGGCCATTATCCTTTCTCGTTTAATTTATCCATTTCGGAGAGTCAGAAAAAATGACGGTAAAATGATATACAGGTGTAAAATGCGATTAATATCGCTGCGATAATTTTTCGTTTGATGGAAATAACAATTCTAAAATTATGAAAAACAATGATTATCATATTTAAAATTGTAGCAAGAGTAGAAAAAATTTAGTATCGTAACTATAATCGACTTTAAAAGAAATCATCTAAAAATCGCATATTTTTATATTTCACATATGTACATATCTTTGATCATACGTATTATTCCTGTCGCCAAAAAAAAGCAGAAATTGGATTTATTTAGAACAGTTCCGGTAAGATTCCAGTCTTCTCGTTAGAATACCATATCGGGGACGTATTACGGCCATTATCCTTTCTCGTTTAATTTATCCATTTCGGAGAGTCAGAAAAAATGACGGTAAAATGATATACAGGTGTAAAATGCGATTAATATCGCTGCGATAATTTTTCGTTTGATGGAAATAACAATTCTAAAATTATGAAAAACAATGATTATCATATTTAAAATTGTAGCAAGAGTAGAAAAAATTTAGTATCGTAACTATAATCGACTTTAAAAGAAATCATCTAAAAATCGCATATTTTTATATTTCACATATGTACATATCTTTGATCATACGTATTATTCCTGTCGCCAAAAAAAAGCAGAAATTGGATTTATTTAGAACAGTTCCGGTAAGATTCCAGTCTTCTCGTTAGAATACCATATCGGGGACGTATTACGGCCATTATCCTTTCTCGTTTAATTTATCCATTTCGGAGAGTCAGAAAAAATGACGGTAAAATGATATACAGGTGTAAAATGCGATTAATATCGCTGCGATAATTTTTCGTTTGATGGAAATAACAATTCTAAAATTATGAAAAACAATGATTATCATATTTAAAATTGTAGCAAGAGTAGAAAAAATTCAGTATCGTAACTATAATCGACTTTAAAAGAATCTAAAAATCGCATATTTTTATATTTCACATATGTACATATCTTTGATCATACGTATTATTTCTGTCGCTAAAAAAAGCAGAAATTGGATTTACTTAGAACAATCCCGACAAAATTTCAATCTACTTGTTAGAATACCATATCGGGGATGCTAGACTAGATTTACATTTTTCATTTAATAAAAATAACAGTTATCAAAAATTAATGCTTATCACATCCAAAATTATAGTAGAAGTGTAAAACAGTAGAATATAATATCGCGATCACTGATAATTGATTAAAAAAAAAACTCCATCTAAAAATCATATATTTTTCTATTTCACACATATACGTTCATTTTTGGTATGTTATTATATCCATTTAGATTGAGACAGTAGGAACCCTCTCGAATAATCCAAGAACCGCGGGCTATAAAGAGCGCGCCTGATCCCGATTCTGATCCTGATTCCGATTCCGTATGCACCGTGTACCTATTTACGTGACGTATACCTGGCCCACGGGGGCGCAATTCTCATTTTTCACGTTGTCGCGTGCGCGCCACGTAGCCTATGGGATTCACGTAAATTCGGTATATATACGGAACCGTATAGAGAGTACATAACGGAGGAGACCGAGAGAACGAAAAGAGGAGGTCCCCGACCTCCCGCTTCAACCCCGAGGAAAGTTTACAGAGTGCCAGTGCGACACGGCGAGAAAGGGGTTGAAAGCTGGACTCGAGACCGACGATGCGGACGGGGGTTGGCGGTGCCAACCTCTTTATCCCTCGTCCCCTCGTTTTCTGAGAAATTGCGTTACATTTGATTCACCGTCGGAATCGTTAGGGCGTTCGAGACCCGAGATAGCGACCCATGTTTTTCAAACCGCCCTTGCCGTCCTACGAAAGTGTCCCCTTCCTCTCTCCTCGCTGGCACGACTCTCCCCGTTTGTCTCAAATTTCAATTCGTAGCCTCTCGGCACGGCGGTGCTACGGCTTCACGTGTTCTTCGCTACTTTTCCTCAGTCGTTTCAACTCCGAAATCCGATAATGTATCCCAATATTTTGGTATGCATCTCTGTTTCGTCTCGCGCGAGAGAGGAAAAGAGTCTCGTGATATTTCGTTTACAATTCAAACGTAAAAGTTTTAATCTTATAAGAAACGATCAAAGATTGAAAATTCTACTCTGTTAACAGATGAATAATACTGACTTCTAAATATTTTCATATTGATATATATATATATATATATTGCTTATTCAATGTCCTCTGCATTCTTACAAAAGACTGAATAGAAGATCTACTTCTTTTCATACACAAATTTCTAAAGCAGCACGGGCATTCTGGAAATATTTTCCATTCGAAATAGCGGAAACTGTCTGGTTCGCTTTATCTGAATATTGTCCGCGATTCTAAAGGACCCTTGTATTTCGTGAAACGTAGTTTCCGTGATGTAAGTAATTATCGAATATATAAAGTCGATATATTATGCGAGTTTGGAAGAGAATCATTCACATGTAAAATCCAGCCACAGTGACCGGATATGCTGGTTTCAACGAGTTGTTTTTTTTTTTTTTTTAATTCTCAAACCATCACGGATGTTTGAAATTCATTTTAGTTTGTCCTAGTTTCGTACTTGCAATACACGAACGAAAAATCGGACGACTTTTATGAAAGCTTATTAAAACTTTGAAGAGAGAGCTCTAAATCCACGATGCGCTCAACCGATATCAAAATTCGATATCGCAGCGATTCGATAAAATAATTCCGATAATGAGAGATAAAAATAAATAAAAAGATAGAAATAAATGCTCTTCTTTTCGTAGTCTCTTTAAAAAGATCTTTTTAAACCGTCCAAATGTCTCAGTCTCTTTCCACACTAAGAAAACTCGATTGATTTCATTGAAATCATTTGATTGTATCAACAAGACGTGTATGATTGAAGGGATTTTGGTTTAATCAAACAAGAATTTCTAGTTATGATAAGACTCGATTTTTTATAACTAGAACGTTTCATAGATTTTACTATAAGGATTTTTAATATTTTCTGGTTGGATCTATCAAATTTTTTATTACATTAATTTCTTTGCTTGCTTCTTAACTTAACTCGTATTTAATATTTGCCACGAAATGTATATAAAGAATTAGTATTAACATTAAATCCACAGTATATTTTTGTTTCTTACGAGCAGTAGTGCCAGAAAGAGGACGCTAGCTCTCTGATTGTGTATGTTTGAGCTGCATCCTCTTCTTGCATCACTATTTATCAGTTTAATTTCTAACTAACTGAATTTAAAATAATTTATATAATAATCTGGATTGAATTTATCCAATAATCGTGTTGGAATTTAGAATATTAAACAAACTTTTGAGATTAGAGATGGAAAAAATTTTAGACGACTTGATGCTGGTGAGTTTAGTATTATTAACGAGAAAATTTGGTAAGTTTAACAGCAAGAAATTAATCAGATTCGTCTGGTAATTCCTACAAGAATTCTGATTCGTCCATTTTCCAACAGATATACTGGTTGAATCTACCAGAATTCTAATTAATGCAACGAGATTTTTTCTCAGTGTATGAATTTATTTTCTGCCTCCCCAAAATTAATTTTTTACAAGTTAAAAAACGTTGTTCAAATATTATACCAAAATCCGAAGATTGATTGAAGTTACAAGATATCTCGCTCTATTAAAAGAATAAGAGTTAAAATAATTAAGACAAATATATAACTTTAATTGGATATAAGGATCATTGAAAAAAGTGTAGTCGACCAAACTAGCCAGAAAATTTGTTTATTAATACAGTAGTTTGAGTATTAATAAACAAATTTTCTGGCTAGTTTGGTTAACTACACTTTTTTCAATGATCCTTTGATTATTTGACTAGCGACATTAAGATATTTATAATTTTTAATTGGATATAGTTTTCTCATATAATACATCTTTATATGTCTCCAAATTATTATAATATTTGAGAAAGGTAAACTATTTGAAAAAATAAAATACTACAAACAAGTTTATGATTTTATGTATAATACGAATTAATTAAATTTTGTTTTCATGTATATAAATTTCCTAATTAATGTTTTAATCTAAATTAGATATTTCCATTTTCCAACAGACATACTGTTTCGTTGAATCTACCAGAATTCTAATTAATGCAACCAGATTTTTTCTCAGGGCATTAGTCGCGCGCGAAAAAATATTGTCGTCCTCTTCCCCTCCTTAGACAAGCAACGCAATATTTCGTAATGCAACGGTGTATCATAGACATGGTTTTGTCTGTTGCAGTGCTGCGGGAGGAGTTTCGCGCGGAACCGCAAAACACGAGGGTCGCCGCCGGGGAGACGGCTTTGCTAGAGTGTGGACCTCCCCGCGGCCATCCGGAGCCGACCCTCTATTGGAAAAGGAACGGTCACATAATAGACCTGGAAGCGACGAAACGGTGAGTTTTCTTTGTGCGAGGCCGCGCGTAGGTCGCGCTCCCTTTGAATTCGTTCGACCTATACCGAACGCGACGACCGAAAACGCGCAACGAGAAGAAGAGATTGCACGGGCGAAAAGGCGTAAATGATTAAACACGCCGGGATCTCGACTATTTCGGTTCCATCGGGCCCATCGGGGCCCGTTCTTTTCGTGAAAGACTCGACGAGGCCCCAGCTGCCGCGTGAAAATGACTTTGGGATCGCGACCTTTCCCTTTATCTTTTTTTGAAGAAAAAGGCGGAAAGCCTTTGTCCGCGATGATGGCGTTCTCGCCGAACGGACGGGGCAAACGTAGCGTGTCTACGCACGAGGGTCGTTTAATAAACAAGTTTGATATAAAACGTAATGTAATTGCGTTAACTGTAGCATAAACAAATATAAATAAATTTGTTCCATCTCGAAAAAAGTATAAGCGCGATAACTTGTTTTGACGCGCACTTCGTTACTCGGCCCCGTGGTGATTAATTCGATCTTGTCACTTGGGCCGCGAGTGAAGGCGAAACAATAATAAATATACTCCGTTTGCAATTTGCGGGCCCTTTAAAAGCACGCGTGCAACATATTCGCCGCGCGTATCCGATTAAATTGCATGCGCGCGAGCATTGCACACGCACATGCGTACGTATATACATATATACACACACACACACATTATATGCATACATACACGCGCGCATTTACTGCCGCGACTAGCAACTCTACAAGAATTTCGCGCTGTCTGTGTCTTCATGTAATAATGTCGCGGCAGTAAGAGCAAGTTTTACGTTCGCGGGATTACGGTTGGGAGAATCTACTTTTATAGACACGACGAGGGAAGGAGAGGACGGGAACTCTAGATTAACTTAATTCTAACAACGACGCCGAGGGTAAAAGGGACGTCGGCGGGACAAAAAAATCGTATCAAACGCCACTGCTAACGTGAATACGGTCGGTTATCTGGCATTTCTCTTTATTTTCTTTTATGTATCCGATTTATCTTGATTCAAGCGTAAGATGTCTTTGCGCGAATGGGGATTTTATTTCAGTTCTTAAATTAGTTGCACAGTTAAGTTTATTTTAGATGACATTTGTTTATTAAATACTTGCATGTTGAAATATCAATCTGCTTATATGTTAAGGATGCTTTGTATGTACAATCCCAGCAAAAAGTAGCTGAAAATCAATATTGACGAATACCCACTTTTGGTGTATTTTGAGTATGAGAAATTGCGTGGAATATTACAATTTATCTTAGCTACAGTGCAGAGATGTATTTTTAAATATTTTTTTTTAAATATTTTTTAATATTTTTTAATATTTTTGCGTTTTTACTGAAATATTCCGAATTTTGTTAATCGAAATGATTAACTTTTGGCAGAGAATTTCGCCTTGTGACAGATGCATGGCTAACTTCATTGAATATTTAATATCTTTTTAACCAAGTTAATACTTGTATAATATTATTTGACCAAATATTTCCTCTGTATCTAAACTTTTGCAAATTTTAAACAAATTCTGAATATTATTTCCACGTGTTTTTGTCATTTGAATCGACGTGGTTATACGTTTTCCATAAGAACACAAATTAAAATCCTTATAACTTGTGAACGCTCTAGTGAATCGATTAAAAATTGTATTGAAGATTCTAAACATATGTAAAGACATTCTGTACAATTTTCATTAAGTTCTAAGTATTTTGAAAATAGCTACAAAACATCCTTGATCGAAATGATTAACTTTTAGCAGAGAATTTCGCCTTGTGTCAGATACATGGCTAATTTCATTTAATTATATTTAATATCTTTTTAACCAATTAGTACTTGTATAATATTATTTGATCAAATATTTCCTCTGCATCTAAACTACACTTTTGCAAATTTTAAACAAATTCAGAATATTATTTCCATGTGTTTTTGTCATTTGAATCGACATAGTTATACATTTCCCATAAAAACACATGTTAATTCGGTGCAAATTAAAATCTTTATCAATTGTGAACGCTTTAGTGAATCGATTTAAAATTGTACTGAAGAGTCTATACATATGTAAGGACATTCTGTACAATTTTCATTAAGTTCTAAGTATTTTGAAAATAGCTACAAAACATCCTTAATCGAAATGATTAACTTTTGGTAGAGAATTTCGCCTTGTGTCCGATACATGGCTAATTTCATTTAATTATATTTAATATCTTTTTAACCAATTAGTACTTGTATAATATTATTTGATCAAATATTTCCTCTGTATTTAAACTTTTGTAAATTTTAAACAAATTCTGAATATTATTTCCACGTGTTTTTGTCATTTGAATCGACGTGGTTATACGTTTCCCATAAGAACACAAATTAAAATCCTTATAACTTGTGAACGCTCTAGTGAATCGATTAAAAATTTTATTGAAGATTCTAAACATATGGACATTCTGTACAATTTTCATTAAGTTCTAAGTATTTTGAAAATAGCTACAAAACATCCTTAATCGAAATGATTAACTTTTGGCAAAGAATTTCGCCTTGTGTCAGATACATGGCTAATTTCATTTAATTATATTTAATATCTTTTTAACCAATTAGTACTTGTATAATATTATTTGATCAAATATTTCCTCTGCATCTAAACTACACTTTTGCAAATTTTAAACAAATTCAGAATATTATTTCCATGTGTTTTTGTCATTTGAATCGACATAGTTATACATTTCCCATAAAAACACATGTTAATTCGGTGCAAATTAAAATCCTTATAACTTGTGAACGCTCTAGTGAATCGATTAAAAATTGTATTGAAGATTCTAAACATATGTAAGGACATTCTGTACAATTTTCATTAAGTTCTAAGTATTTTGAAAATAGCTACAAAACATCCTTAATCGAAATGATTAACTTTTGGCAGAGAATTTCGCCTTGTGTCAGATACATGGCTAATTTCATTTAATTATATTTAATATCTTTTTAACCAATTAGTACTTGTATAATATTATTTGATCAAATATTTCCTCTGTATTTAAACTTTTGCAAATTTTAAACAAATTCTGAATATTATTTCCACGTGTTTTTGTCATTTCAATCGACATGGTTATACATTTCTCATAAGAACACATGTAAATTCGGTGCAAATTAAAATCTTTATAAATTGAACGTTTTAGTGAATGAATTTAAAATTGTAATTTAAAATTGTAGAAGATGAAGATTGCTGAAGATTCTAAACATATGTAAGGACATTCTGTACACTTTTCATTAAATTTTCAATATTTTGAAAATAGCTACAAAACACCCTTAAATCTGTTATAGCTCTTCCATTATAGTTTGCTATTTCTCGCCAAGAGAGAAGAAAATTATTAATCAGAACAAGAGACGATAGAAATAATATTATCGATTTATAAGCTCGGATTAAATGTCATCTATCTTCATTCACGAAATTCAATCGCGCTTTATAATATCCCTCTATTTTAACTAAAATTTCACTGAAATTTTCATCAATCGACAAATCCGTAACGCGATGTGTCAATAAAATTTCCCGCTCTGCGGCTTACAATTTTAATAATAAATCATACGGTAATATTCGTCGTGTAATAAAGCGCATAATCGATAGCCGCGTCTAGCATTTATGTATCGATATCTACGATATCTAGAGGCCCATCGCGATATCCGGAGCGTGTAACCGAACGAAAGAGAGGACTCGGGAGACTCGCAACTCGGCGGCGCAGGAATCGACGCATAAATTCAGACGAATTTTACCTCCTGGCCCCCTTGGCGTCCCTCCCTCTGCTGCTTCCTCCAGGATCAGGAGCATTTAAACGTACGCTTGCGCGAGCCACCTCGTTGTAACGACCCGGCATACTTTCGCGCTCCTCCGTCTGCCATTCGTATCTCGAAACGGGCGATTTTTTCTCCCCCGAATCCCCATGGATCGACTCGATCAAACTTTCATGGGGCGCTGAATGCCTCTTAGTTTTTCTCGCGCTACCTATCCCGGCTCTTCTCCATCCCTCTCTCTTTTTTTTCTTCAAGAGTAAAACCCTCGCGATCTCTCTCCGATCGGCGAAACTCCATCAGAGTTAAAAGGGAGATTCTTATTATCAAAGTGTTCTTTCAAACGCGCGATAAAAAATGGCGATGAACTAAAGAGAGAAATTTATCGTCCGCAATGTTGCGGAAACAGGAGTATCGAGTATCGAGATAAATTTATTAATTTAATAAATGATTTATTTATACGCAATTTATTAATTCCCTCTATTATATTTTCGCGCGCCAATTCTATTTCCGTTATTTCTTCGCGCGCAGAATTTATCTTTATACGGTTCATCGCGTCGTTTTATGTAATTACTTCCATTTACACCGTCGCTTACACCGTATTGTACGCGCTGGCTTAACGCTGTCTGAGGGGACACGGGCACATAAGAGCACGTGACAAACGATTTTATTTTCTTTTTTTCTTTCTCCTTTTCGGAGCAGGGGAGAGCCCGACGCGAAAAGCGAGAATGGAGACATTTTTTTCTGGCGAGATCCCCCTCGAAAACGAAACGAAACTCTCGGGCACTCGTTCGTTCGCTCGTTCGCTCGTTCGTTCGTTTCGACGGCTATTTTCCTCTCCTTCGTCTCGATCAATAGGATACTCTCCTCCGTCGCGACGGCTCGCGGAAATTTCCTCCCCCTCTTCCTCCTGCTCCTCCACCGCCACCATCCTCGCGTCGGATTTACCGATGGAAGCCCGAAGCCGCGATAAATTAGGACAACCGATAGGAATTAAATCCGGCCGTATCGGAACGCCGAGACCGCGTTTCTCTCCTCTCTCCTCTCCCTTCTCCCTTCTCTCGTCGCAGCTCGCGGAACGTGTGGTAAAACGGGACATGGAGAGCGATGGAAGAATGGTCGCGCGAAGGGAGGAGGAAAGAGAGAGAGAGAGAGCGCGGATCAAAGCAGAGGGAACGGAGGAGGTAATCGAGCACCACCGACGCGAAAATTAATTGACACTATAAATTAGAGAGCGCGCAATCGAGAGAGAGGAGAGGGAGAGAGAGCGAACTATCGATCGATCGCGTCGTCGCCGAATAACAGCACTCTCCATATGCGCGATATTGTGCATGTGCACCCCTCAAACGAGGCCGTTTAATCTTGGGACCTCCGACGCGGAAGAAGAACGAGCCCTCGAAGGAGAGGATCGGCGAGGGTGTCCAGGAATGCCAAGTACGCAGTCTCTTGAATACGCGTCTTTGCTCCTTATTCTCTCGCATAAATAATATAGGTTTGGCGAAAAGGAGACGCGCATCATCTCCGAAAGTTCCTCTCGTCTTGTGGAGCAACGAGACTTGGAATGAGCGACTAACGTATGAGCTGTCCGAGATGCTCGAAATTATCTCGAGACTCGCGCGAGGTCAATCTTTCACGTGTGCGTTCATTTCTTCGCGTTAGTTGCAAAATTATAGATAATAATATTATGTAATTTATGATAATACACAAATAGGAGGATGCCCTGGACTATTATTACATCTCTTCCCCATCGATATTTAGAGTCTTGAAGATGCCGTTGATCTTCTCGGGCGGAAATTAATCGTCGTAATTTTCGTCGTTGCTCTTATCGAACGGAGAGAAACGTCTCCGCGTCTTGATTAATCGTTTATCGGGCATTTCAGGATAACTCTCGTGGACGGAGGTAATCTAATGATATCCGACGTGAGACCGGCTGATCAGGGCAAGTACCAGTGCATCGCCGAAAACATGGTCGGCATCAAGGGATCTGCGATAGCTACTCTCACGGTTCATGGTAAGCGTGTAACACGAACTCATTTCCCACATACAAGTGCACGTACAATCACGAGAAGTAGACATAGGTGTAGGTTCATAGATATAGACACGGCCAAGCCTCTCATAACATTTAGCGATAATTCTGATTGACCGATAAGTTTTGTTCCGTTTCGCGTTGAGTCAAAATTTGGATAAAATATTAAAGTTAGTATTTAAAGCATCTCTTATTTCGTCCGCAGTATATGTTTTTATTTTTAATTATTTGTTATATAAATATTTATAATCATATACCGAGAAAAATCGTTTGATTGTACCAACAAGACGTATATTGAAGGCATTTTGGTTAAATCAAACAAGAATTTCTGATAATTTATCATGATAAGACTCGATTTTTTATATCTAAAACGTTTAATAGATTTTACTGTAAGGTTTGGTATTTTCTGGTTGGATCTATAAAATTTCTTGTTATTAATTTCTTTGCTTGTTTCTTAACTTAATTCGTATTCAGTATTTACCATGAAATGTATACGTATAAAGAACTAGTATTAATATTAAATCCAAAGTATATTTTTTTTAAACTAAATCGGAAGGAATTAGGCTCGTTATGTATTAAACAACAAGACAAGGAAACTAGCGTCTTTGAGCTACAGCGGATGGTAATGCCTAAAAATTCTTTAATTGTACGCAAAAATTTAAACGAGAACAAGGCATATGCATATATTTTACTTGGTGCATTTACCAATATATATAAATTCTCATTTTGGAGAATATATTTTTTTTCTCTTACGAGCAGTAGTGCCAGAAAGAAGACGCTAGCTCTCTGATTGTGTGTGTTTAAGCTGCATCTTCTTCTTGCATCACTGTTTATCAGTTTCTAACAAACTGAATTTAAAATAATTTTTCAATAATCTTGATTGAATTTATGCAATAATCGTGTTGGAATTAAGAATATTAAACAGACTTTTTAGATGGAAAAAATTTTAGACGACTTGGTGCTGGCGAGTATTAGTATTATTAATCAGAAAATTTGATAAATTTAACAGGAAGAAATTAATCAGATTCGTCTGGTGATTCCTACAAGAATTCTGGTTCATCCATTTTCCAACAGACTTACTGGTTGAATCTACCAGAATTTCAATTAATGCAACCAGATTTTTTCTCAGTGTATCTGTTTGATGAAAAAGATAAAATGATAAAGTATCATTATTATTTTCTCTGTTATATCTATGTAATTTTATTTACGACCGTTTATTTCGGTAAAAATCATTTTTTTTCTTTTCAATAGAATCAATTTGTTTTCTTCTCTCCTAAAAATAATTAATGAAAAATGTACACTGAGAAAAAAATCTAGTTGCATTAATTAGAATTGACCTGGTAGATTCAACCAGTGTCTCAACCATGAATCTGATTAATTTCTTCCTGTTAAATTTACCAAATTTTGTGATTAATAATACTAAACTCACCAGCACTAAGTCGTCTAAAATTTTTTTCATCTAATCTCAAAAGTCTGTTTAATATTCTGAATTCCGACACGATTATTGCATAAATTCAATCCAGATTATTAAATAAATTATTTTAAGTTCAGTTTGTTAGAAATTAAACAGTGATGCAAGAAGAAGATGCAACTCAAACACACAATCAGAGAGCTAGCGTTCTCTTTCTGGTTCACTACTGCTCGTTAGAGAAAAAAAATACTTTGGATTTAATGTTAATACTAGTTGTTTATATACATTTCATGGCAAATATTGAATACGAGTTAAGTTAGGAAGCAAGCAAAGAAATTTATGTAACAAGAAATTTGATAGATTCAATCAGAAAATACTAATCAAATCCTTATAATAAAATCTATGAAACGTTCTAGTTATAAAAAATCGAGTCTTATCGTGATAACTAGAAATTCTTGTTTGATTTAATCGAAATGCCTTCAATCATATACGTTTTGTTGGTACAATCAAACGATTTTTCTCGGTGTAGTATTTCGATATCTTTACGCGAACGACATTTATTTGCAGTATTTTAATTAACATTTTATATATATAGTTATTTATTTAAACTATCTAGTCGATTAGATAGACACTCTAAATTATACGCTCCACTAATTAAATCTTCTTAAATAAATAATAATCTCGCTAGTACTAGTGTACTTTGCGATTGCGGAGTCGCTCGAAATCCTATGAAAAGCCGCGGGCCGTAATTCGGGATACAGCCGGGGGCTATATTCGGGTTTTCCAATCGAATCCTCGTTCTGTCTTCGCAGTGAAGCCGTACTTCGTGGCCACGCCGTCGAACCAGACGATCCTCGCGGATCAAACGGCGGAGTTCGTCTGCAGGGTGGGCGGCGACCCGTCACCAGAGATTCTGTGGCGGCGGGGCGACGGCAAGATGCCGATAGGTCGGGCGCATATCCTGGAGGACAAAAGTTTACACATCGAGCGGGTGAATCCCCAAGATCAGGGGACGTACATCTGCGAGGCGGAGAACGGCGTCGGCACGATATCAGCGAGCGCCACTCTTACCGTGCACTGTGAGTACTGTAATCTTCTTCCCTCCTCTCCCTCCCCTCTCTCTTTCTCTCTCTCTCTCTCTCTCTCTCTCTCTCTGTGTAAGGAGTCGCTCTGCCGTGAAATTAATTACGCGCCCGGTGTACGATTATCGCGTCGGTGACGAGCGAAGGGGTTGTTGCCGCACGGAGGACAGACGCAACGTCGCGCATTATCGCCGCATATTAAGCCCCGGAATATGCATCCTGTCGACTTTTGCGCCTCGCTTGGACGCAAATCGGATCCCGTGGCTTGGAAAATACGAACGTATTGTCGACCCGCTCCAAGCAAGCGAGATAGGGGCGCGGACACGATAGATCAAACTTCACGCTTAGATAAATGGCCTAAATTTTCAACGGCTATGCGTACATCGCTAACATTATCGTATCCGCGTTTTTTCCAGATTTATTCTCTATAGTTGAACGAGCAATTTAAACTGTAATCCCGCGTCTACTCGTATTCTTATTTCCGTGAGAAACGCGATTTATCAATGCCGAGGGATTTAAGTATTGAAAAAAATAAAATTCCACAATTGATACGCAAAGGCTAATTAAATAACTAAATAATTAAAACGAGAGAATGATATTTAATACATAGAAAAAAATAAGTGTCAAATCAAAACTTATATACTTAAACTAACGCATTCATTGTTTCGCATATACAGGGTGTATTTTAAAAAGCTCCCATTAAGCAAATAGCGTTATTTCTGATTAAAAACCGAGTCGAAAAGTCCTGAACCATTTTTTTCCATAATGCTTAATAAAGCAGTAATTAATGAGTAAAGTCGCGCCAATAAAAAGACAAACTTCCTCGTTATCAACATATGAAGATTTGGATAAGCCAAAAAATAAACTGTTTTGTGTTGATTTTTAAACAATTCATCTTTTCAGAAATCTTTTTAATACTTAAATCTGATTAATTATTTAATGAATCTTGAAAAAAAAATGGTTCCGGACTTTTCGACTCGATTTTTAATCAGGAATAACGCTAGTGGTTTACTTAGTGGCAGCTTTTTAATATACACCACATTTATAATCTTCTTAAAAGAATTTAATAATTTTAAATTTCAACAATATTATCGTCTTATTTTAATATTGTTACCTCAAGAATATATAATTATTTAATTTCACTTTAATAAAATTATAACCATTGATTTAAAAATGTTATTTTCTATCCAACATTATTTCTTTTTCAAGAAAATTAAATCTTAAATTATGAAAATATATTTTTCTCGATTGAATTATATAAAATGGCTTCACTCAAGCAATTGTTCAAGCAATTATATATTTTTTTAAATAACGCGATATAATCTCATTTCGAGATTTCCATGTTAAAATATATTTTCAAAATAAGAACGTTCTTTTTTTCTGTGTATTTTTATCGTGAAACTGAATATGCTCGATTTTTTTTCTACCTACTCTAAAATAATTCTCACCCAAATTCGTAATAATGACATACAACGAGATGTCCCGTGTACACAGAATCTAGCAGATTCACTCATCTATTTGAAAATTGGCTTATACGGGTTAAGGGTTGAAGGAGCGTCTTTATCGCTAAATATACGGTGAGGATACGTGTGTCGAATACGGACCGTTTGTCACAGCGAGACCGGTATTCAGCAACTTCCCCAAGGACGAGACGGTAAGCTCCAACAGCGACGTTACCTTCTCGTGCGCGGCGCGCGGCGCGCCAAAGCCGTCGATATTTTGGACCCGGGAGGGCTCCCAGGAGCTAATGTTCCCCGGCCACACGTATCAGAACCACTACACCGTCACGGAAAACGGAAGTCTGACTATCAAGGGCGCCGTCAGGAAGGACGAGGGCCACTACGTGTGCAGCGCCATTAGTCAGGCCGGCGCCAGCACCGCGACCGTATTTCTCCAGGTATGCGTGAACCTTATAAAATGTACATCTCACGCAATAATTCAACCGCGCTCCAACAGCTTATATTTTCCGAAAATTTTCTCGCACATACATGTCTATTTTTAATAAACGGATTATTAGAAAATACATTTTTAATATATTTTTAACAGCTTTTATATTTTTTAATATATATATTATATGATATTAATCTTGCGTAGGACGTGAAAATTCCATGTTCAAAATTAAAAACAGAAATAATATATATACATATATTAATATATATATTTAATATATATATATATATATTAATATATGTATATATATTATTTCTATTTTTAATTTTGAACATGAAATTTTCACGTCCTACGCAAGATTAATATCATAAATTAGCAATAATTTATGATATACGTATATAGAGTTGTAAGAGCAACGAGCTTGTGCGCTAAATGGACGCGCAACAGTTTAAAATATATAGCTAAGATAAATCTCGTCCGTGTGAGAGAGGCGAGCGTGCACATTAAGTGGTTCATTTTCTCGATACATATTTATATCATCCCCTCTCCCGGCTCCGTTCTCTTCCGGATGAGTGCAGAATTACCATTCCGGCCGGTGCTGCACACCGCGATCCTAGCCCGAGGGAAGCTGCCCCACATTCTGAATAAAATTCTTATCTACATATAGGGAGTATTACAGCGAATCAACTTTGGCGAATGGAAACTCGGTAACTCCCTACTCGGAGCGGCTAAAGTTGTAGGGTGTAATATAGAAAAGAAACTTTTGAATTACATATTTTCACTCCAACGTTAGAGCTATTCGACCGAACTTGGTGGATGTAATATTCGGTTAATTCAACGGCTATAAGTAAGCGCCGGTAGCTAGTTCATAATCTTCTATATACCAGGCAAAAACGAGGAAGGTATGACGTTAACCGATTTAATTCTGATTTATTCAAATATCGGAAAATTCTAAATTTAATCGCGTGAATTTTAAGCATCCGTGACACTTGTAACTTCTCTATATCTCTCCATATACAGGGTGTATCTGAAATGATGCACTAAACTTTAGAAGCGTATTCTAGAGGTCAAAATAAGACTTTTTTCTGTGAACATGGGTCCGCAAATGAACCCCTCTCTGAGTTAAAATTCGAAAATGTGTGAAATTGACCAAATACTCGCAACACAAATTTGTTTATCTCTCAAGAGGGTGATGGGTAATGAAAAACCCTTTCTTTTTTTTCCTGAAATACACACTGAGAAAAAAATCTGGTTGCATTAATTAGAATTCTGATAGATTCAACCAATATGTTTGTTGGAAAATGGACGAATCAGAATTCTTGTAGGAATTACCAGATGAATCTGATTAATTTCTTCCTGTTAAATTTACCAAATTTTCTGGTTAATAATACTAAACTCACCAGCACCAAGTCTAAAATTTTTTCCATCTAATCTCAAAAGTCTGTTTAACATTCTGAATTCCAACAAGATTATTGGATAAATTCAATCCAGATTATTGAATAATTATTTTAAATTCAATTTGTTAGAAATTAAACTGATAAACAGTGATGCAAGAAGAGGATGCAGCTCAAACACGCACAATCAGAGAGTTAGCGTCCTCTTTCTCGCACTACTGCTCGTAAGAGAAAAAAAATATACTTTGGATTTAATGTTAATACTAGTTCTTTATATATATTTCGTGACAAATATTGAATACGAGTTAAGTTAAGAAGCAAGCAAAGAAATTAATGCAACAAGAAATTTTATAGATCCAACCAGAAAATACTAACCAAATCCTTATAGTAAAATTTATTAAACATTCTAGTTATAAAAAATCGGGTCTTATCATGATAACTAAAAGAAATTCTTGTTTGATTTAACCAAATGCCTTCAGTCATATATGTCTTATTGATACAATCAAACGATTTTTCTCAGTGTACAATTGCAATATATTATTATATTAAAATATATTGATAAATTCTATTAAAATATATTGCAATTTATATTAAATTTATATTAAAATTTTTGTCAAACAAAGCCACACATACAATTGAAGGATCCTTACATCCTCAAATTTCCTTAAAATAGGAAAGTAAATAAACGTTCTAGTTATAAAAAATCCAGTCTTATCATGATAACTAGAAATTCTAGAAATTCTTGTTTGATTTAAAATGCCTTGAATCATATACATCTTGTTGGTACAATCAAACGATTTTTCTCAGTGTAAAAACCTTTTCTTTTTTTTCTGAAATACAGTCAATTTCTAATTTTTTCCCCAAACTTTAGGGGCCTGTAGCTCGGAGGGGGATTCATTTGCGGACCCATCTTCACAGAAAAAAAAAGTCTTATTTTGACCTCTAGAATACGCTCCTAAAGTTTAGTGCATCATTTCAGATACACCCAGTATACGTGGATCTTTTTCGAAAAAGATTCATCGGGAAAATAAAATTTTCCGCGATAACTTTAAAGCGAGCCTCGCTAGAATTCTCGTCTCCGTCCTGCACCGGAACGTAGAGTCGAAAGGAGGCGAGGTCGCCCGCGGCGTTCTTTCTCCGCGAAGTAGACCATCAAATACAGTTTCCGTCTGCCGTAATAAAGGTGACGTCCGTCGAGGAGACCCCGCCGCCCATAATCGAGCTTGGCCCTGCGAATCAAACTCTGCCGTTGAAGAGCGTCGCCTCGTTGCCGTGCCGAGCGGTCGGTACACCCACGCCGCGGGTTCACTGGCATAAGGAGGGCGTGCTCGTACGTCCGGGCGGCCGTATCACGATGGCCATCAACGGCACGCTGTTCATCGACGATCTGCACGCCAACGATTCCGGCCTCTACACCTGCATCGCCTCGTCCGAGTCCGGCAACACCTCGTGGTCGGCCTACCTGACAGTGAGTTCCGGCGCCAGCTTTCACCGTACGCCCGACGTGTCAGCGCTGCCGCAGAACCCGAGCAAGCCGCGAATAGTGAACGCCACCAGTAACTCGGTCACCCTGACGTGGAGCCCGGGCCACGAGGGCCAGAGCAAGATCATCGGCTACAATATCGAGTATTACAGCAGCAACCTGAACACCGGCTGGGTGGTGGCAGCCACGGGTGTCCTCGACGATATCTATACCGTGAGTATTATATCGAGGATCGGCTTGACCTCCTTTCCTCATAGTGCTTATACTTGAGAGTTTCAATGATCTTTTCAAGTAGATATTTTCAGTTTCCCTCCTCGCTTCGCGTGTATCGTTTCGAAAGTGTGTTTAGAGCGTGGAACTGCTGACGAAAGCAGTTTGCGACACCATGTGCGGTGTTGAAAAACGGATCTATAAAGCTAAATTGTGTTCACGTTGTGACGCGTTTAAAAATTTAATATCGAAGTTCCACGTATGCTGGAGCTACGATTTAATAAGAGGACCGGAGAGGCGCCTAATCCTACAAAGAGGCGGTCATCTGCGTCTAGAGATACTTTAATATTCTTTATCAAGCGGACATCTCATGTATATTGAACTTTGTTGCCGGATAATATAGTACTTTGGGGCAACCTGGAAAGAGAATAAATTAGTCCCTTTAAAGATAAGTATCGCGACATAAAGAAATAAATATTTGGTAGCGAATAAACGATGTAAACGATACTCAAACGTACATGTATTTGTGCATAACATTGATATTATTTATTTTATTTTTTATATTATTTGATGGCATTCGTTGTTTAAATTTATTTTGCATTTTTTTATCGAGCTAACGAGTCGGGTTCTCTGCTTTATTCATCAACAGGTGACAGATTTAAGGCCAGAGACCAATTACGTTTTCCTAGTACGAGCAGAAAATAACCACGGGCTCTCGCTGCCCGGACCATTGTCGGACGTGGTGCAAACTACTAACGTAAATCAGCATACGGTACCACAAGTGGAACTGACTCGCGCTAGAGATCGGTTAAACAGCGAGATTTTACATCTCAAAGAGGTGCAACCGTTGACCAGTACTAGCGTCAAGATTATGTGGGACGTAAGTGTCGTTTGAAACTCCCTGTGTTCCGTCTGTATCGATTTAATACAACGATATGTGGGAGTATCGGGAAAACTGCGCTAGCTCGAAAATTTTGAAAAATAAATTTTTGCCTGTATAAAAGCGTTACCACATTTGTTAAAAAAATATAAATTTATTTTTTCAATGTATATGTTTTATTTTAACAGAGACTTAATTTAGCATGTGTATTTATAATATAATATATAAATTTATAATATAATATAATATATCTCTCTCATATTTTCTCATAAAAACAATTGAAAATATATTAATAAATTATATTTTTTAGACTCTTGTGCAATTCTGTTTTTGTTTGTGGAAAATATCGTTTGTGTAAAATGTATTAAAAAATTTTTCCCGAGAGAAAATATATTTGAGATATGTATCCTGACGCGACAATTGGAATTGGAAAACGTTCCAATAACAACAGCAAGAATTAGAATAACATACTAGAATCTAAATTTTAGATTCTCGGCGCAGCGGATTTAGTGGAGGGTCTTTATATACGGTATCGCGAGGTTTCCGAGAAACCGGAGTATCAGATGGTCACGGTACTCAACGCCGGCGCCACCAGTTATGTGCTCACCAATTTAAAAAAGTACACGCGATACGAGTTCTTCCTGGTTCCCTTCTACAAGATAATCGAAGGCCGACCGAGCAACGTGAAGCTGGTCACTACTCTAGAAGACGTGCCCTCGGGCGCTCCCGAGAACGTTCACGTAGGGATGATAAATATGACCTCGGCATTCGTTCGGTGGTCGCCGCCGCCGAAGAACACTCAAAACGGTCAATTGATCGGTTACAAGGTAAGGACTTCTTTCTCGTAAATCGCGAGGAAAAGAGTTAATTTCTTTATCTAATTTAACTGTCGATTCATATTCGCCTGATAGATTCAGATCAAGAGCAACAGCAGCAATAAAATCCTTGGTCAAATGTCCCTGAATGCGTCAACCACGTCAGTCATCATCAACAGCCTGACTGCTGGCGGTCTATATACGGCACGCGTCGCTGGACAAACTCGCATCGGGCTCGGTCCCTTTTCTAGTCCGACACTACTGAACATGGATCCGGGACAAATAACGCAGTTGCCGCCGCGAACCGATCCCAGTCACGGGGGTGCATCTGTCATCAGAGAAACGTGGTTTCTCGTCCTCATGATAATGATGATATTTATCGTTATCGTCGTGTTATTAGCCGCGCTCTACGTGAGACGCAGGCAAGCGATGAGCAAGCAACTGGGTCACTTAAATGTACCCGTAGGCACCGCAAACGATATCTGTCAATTAAACAAGGATACGCTCTGGTTGGAACGCGGCTGGCGGCCTACCAATACTCTCCAAGCCGCCAATGACAAGGATTGCGAAACCAAGTTGCTCAACAATCAACATATGCTGGCAGCCGGTATAATGGGCATGACCGGCTCCGAGTACGCTGAAGTGAATCTAACAACGTTTTATAACACGCGCAAGCAAATGCAGGCACCGCCACCGGAGCCGTATGCCACCACAACTTTGTGCGTGGGCAGTCGTAATTCGGATTCGATCGAAACCAGTTGTCAGAAGTCGAACTCTAGCGACTCGTGCCTGAAACCCGATTATTCGAGTCTGGACTCGAATCAAGAGCCCAATAAATCCACGGTGTCGCCGAGCAGTGATAACATGAGCGGCGGCGACGCTACCTACGCGGACGAGAACTTGGATATACAGAGAAGACAGTACAGAATAGCAGGGCCGACGAGCGGCGACGCGTCCCAAACCGGTATGCCGATGCCCAACTGGTGCGACATGTTACCGCCGCCGCCCGAGCATCCGCCCCCGCTCGGCGCATCGCTGGCCGCCGGCCGGATACAACAGCAGCCGCATCAGTTGCAACATTCGCACCAACAGCAACAGCAGCAAGTGCCGTTCAGTCCGCATCTCGGCAAGAGAAACGTTCAAAACGATTTGGATCATTGCAGCGGCTCTGGCGCCGGCTCGGGCAATCTACAGAGTCCGCCCACTCCTCCCATCAGAGTGACTAACAGTTTCAGCCCGTCGCCGACACCATGGAACGGCGGTGGGCAGAATCAGCAGCATTCAGAACCCGGCGTTCTCCCGGTGTCCAGTAATCTACAAGTGTCGCAGGGCAGATACACGACGCTACCCCCGCAAACTAATCCGCCGCCGTTACCCTCGTTCCCGCAAACTTTTAATCATTACGATTATAAGAATCAGGAGAACGAGTACGAAAGTGGCTCTGTTATTTACGGCCATCATCAGAACGGTCTATCGGACGACTATGGTGTCCGTGAATCCGCGTTTGCGCGTTCCTGTAATCAACAACAATCGCATCTTACGCCATCGTCCGTGAACGAGGAGCTCTATCGGCACAGGGATGACATGTTTCACAACGATAATCTCTATCAACCTGAAAACGACGAGTGGGACAGGAAGTCGTGTGACTCCAATACGCATTCGGACGCGTGTTGCTCATGCTCGGAATCGAGTTGCCTCTACACTGACACCGTACAGTACAACGCACAACATTACAGTACTGCGTGCGGCCACAGTAGCGGTAGAACAACGGGTTCCCGAAGCAGGAGTAACAGGAGTCCGCGAAGAAGAAATCGAACGTCTTCGCCCACCTACAGCAGCGACAGCAATTATTCTTGCATCCCTCCGAGACAATGCGGAAGCACGAATTCGCAGGAAAGGCTGAGGCATCGTAGTAAAGGTAACGAAAAGATGAAAACTTGTCGACTTTAATTAAAATTTTATCCCTGAATTTGTCCTAACTTTTGTTTTTTTTTTTTTTTTTTTTTCAATTCCTTTCAGACAAATTGCCTGGCTTTTCGAGAACGGGTGGTTACAGCCAGCACAATTCTTCGGCCTCGAATACGATGAGTAGTACGAGCAGTCAGCGATACAATAAGCTAAATAGTATCTTTGTAAGCGGCAATAACCCGATCGCTCCATCGGACTCTAGTCGACTGGGTGATCACCGTGAGAGCTAAATTCTGCCTGAACGTAGCAAGTATAGGACGTGCCTGAATGAACGGCCTTCGATCACAACGAACGATCGCAGTCTGCATTACGGGAGGCTGTTACGCAATCAGCAAACTGTCGCGGACGCTCGTCAAGTACTGTAAGCGCGCCTTTATATACATAATTGACGGCCTGCAAGCTGATGTACTCTGATTTAATTTGTTGGTTATCAGGCTCATTAAGAAAGTGAGTTCGGTAGTAAAGTTGCGGGATGAATCTCGCACTTTTCCGCGTACTACCGTGTTACGTAATATTAAGAAGGTTTGATAGATTTCGCGAAGTAATTAGTAAGTATTCCATGACTGAGAACGCTTACGTTTAACCGATTATGTGCGGCGATAGCTTAAGCTCATCAAATATCTCTATGTTCGTACGAAGGGCAATAATGGTCTTCTATCGCGGAAGAAACGCAATCTTGACACTTGGAGATTGCAGAATAAATCCCGTGATTGACACTCGCAACGCTTTTTATTAACGCTTTAACGCTGGTACAACCCGTTATATATACATGACGCATTCAATCCTTTTGTACTCACTATTCAGATAAGGGCTTTCAGAAAAAAGGACTAGTGACGTGTAATACTTTGCTTTTTCAAATAGACTCTTTGCCAAATGGATTGATGAAAACGTTTCATTAGACTTTATTTGTTTTGCGTCTCATTTTATATGTGAACCAAAAGCGATTGTGAACTTCGAACGACGTTAAGGGAAGAAAAAAGAAAGAAGAAGTTATATGTTTGCTGTCGCGTCTCTGTTTCTTGAGCGAAGATTTAATCCCCAAGCGGTCACGCCGGTCTAATATTCCAGTTGGCACTTTTTAAACTTTATTATACTCTCGACTGCCATATATACTGCCATTCCCATTGGCGATTTTTCGCACACGATGTTAAGATATTCTGCTAGTTTAATTAAATAATTTCTTAAATAATGACTTTATATAAATCGTATGTTAACTCGCGAATGCCAACGAGCTACAAAGGGTGTCGCGCGACTGAAATTAATGTTCAAGAATATAAGTATCATACGGATCGCATAAAACGCATATGAATCAAGCAAACACAATTTATCTCCTTTGACTAATTATCGAAATTTATTCGCAAGATGTGATTGGTTGCAATAATTTAATTTTATAAACCAATCAAACAAAGTCAAGTTTCTTGTAAAAGCAATGTAAAATACATTCTTATAAAAAATAATATGCGATTTTACGACTAAAGAATTGATCAAAGTAAGTTGTTGAAACTATCGCAGGGAAATGCTTCGAGACTATTTCTTAAAAAAGAGACAAATCTTCACCGTCATACCATCATAGCAATAATAAGTGTATACGTATACATAATTGTGTGGAGATGAATATTTACGAAAACGAAATATCAAGATTCTTGGTATGGATTCTTGGAACAATGTGATCTCGTGGTCCTCTTTGAGTATCAAAATGACTTCACTCGGAAATCGTTGTCTCGAAAGCAATCGAGCGAACAATCGTCCATTATATTAAATCGATCAACTGTATTTGCTTGTTCTTTGCGTGGAATAATCCTTTCGTTACGATTTCTCGTCGAATTTATTTTCATTTTTGCAAACGAAGCAATTGTTTTTTATCGCGTGATTATCAAGTGTATTACATCGCGATTCCGTATTATATAGTGATCACTTATATCCATGTTCCGCATTTAAATGATATCTAATTTATAAACTAGTTCCTTCGATTCTGAGTGATAACAGTTGCATTTAACATGATTAAATGCGGAATGTGAAGATGGCAAAGATGATTCTATTGTCCTTGTTAATTCGAACAATTAGAGGCAGGTATGATTACAGTCTTAGCGAAACACGGGTGAAATCTTAATGGATAGGCAAGCATAATCGTCGTAGCGAAAGGATTAACATGTCTCGCTCGCATATTGACCTTACAAAGCGTGGCATTTATTTTCGACGGCCTGTACTGATGATTCTGGCTACGCGCGACAAATGAAGCATATTATTTTGGATATAACGTTCCTAAATCCTAAGAGAGGCAACCCTGGAGGGCTAATTTCCACGAAGAAGGGCGGACGTATGTAATTCTTCCAAAATGAATGCACGTAGTAACGTTTTTAAAGAAACGAAGTAACAATAAACTCGTAATATATATATATATATTATCATATCAGACACATGCAAACGGTCTCTGTATAAATTGTATAAAGTTATTCTAACGAGATTAGTCATTAATTATTAATTTATACGCCCTATCATACACAATTAAAACTGTATTACATAAGCGAGAGAGAGAGAGAGATGTAAAATGTTTCGTGTACTCTGTTTATTACACACGTACGTAACACGATCTGATACGTAAAATTGAAAACTCTCTAGAAATGTGCGTTTCGAAGCTGTACCGCCAATGCAAGGTGCATTATTCTCGAATGCGTACCTGATTCCGATTTTATCGGATATTTCCGTCGCCATGGTCTAATTTTTCTCATGGAATAAATAATTACAAATACGAATTATAAATTTAAATACAATACATCCATAAGGTCATTATTATCATTATTATTATTATCATTATTATCAGAGATAGAGAATTATAAAAATAAAAATATAAAAAGTTGGAATTGTGAAATGATGAAAGCAATATGATGTACGATTCACAAATAATTTTTGAACTCATATTTTGAGAAATGATGTTCCTTAGGTCTTTGTTATTTCTTTTTTTTTATTTATTTAAAAAATTTTTTTTGCAATCTGTGAGATTTTAGATCGAAAACGCAACGAAATACATTTGCATTCGTAGAAAGCACGTTTGCATGGGGATTTAAAAATATTGTACACTATTAAAATCATGAAATTATATTAATATATGTGCCCTCGTCTTTCTCTCCTTTGAAACGCACATTTTTAATAAGAAAGAAAGAAAGAGAGAGAGAAAGAGAGAGAGAGAATGTTGCTTTTATTCGCAGAATTTACGGATGATTCGAAACAGCGTTTCGCGCATTATATCTCGATAAACTTGATCTAGAGAGAAGCTACATAAATTTTAGAATAAACATCATGCAGTGAATAAAACATTTACTACAAGAAAATTGTCGCAAGAAATTTATTTTTAACGAACGAATTTGCATATATGCAAATATTTATCAAGAATACGACTGAGAATGCATGCATGTTAAGTACTCCACATTTAGCATTTACTAACGACATAGCACTTCCTAAATGTTACTAATAATTCTTTTATGCGAATATAATTATTCAAGGAGGGAGATAAAAAAAATGTAAATTTTAGATAAAACTAAATCCGTCTATGTTGAACTATTTTCACAATATCGACGGTTAATTTAGAAGAAACGCTGTTTCGGGACATCCGTTTAATCCGTAATCCGCGCTTTTTTATCATGTATATACTTAGTCGAGATATTTTATACGCATTTTTTAAGAAAAAGCATCGATTTGGATTCTTTTTAATTTTGCGGCAGCGCGTTACGCGGAAATGAGATTCTGCGATTTTATCAATGTTTTTCGTCCACGTAACGACGTCGCGAGCAAACGAGGATATAGCCTTGTATGCGAATGTATGCAACTTATTAATTACGACTTTCGATTAGGTAATAAGTAGCGTTATCGAATAAGAAGCTTGCATGTAACTCGTTCAGTGACGCGTGGCAAATCGCTCAAATTTATTATATATATATATATACGCAATATAATTAGTTTCATTCGGTTTCGTGAACCGAACATGCTGCCTGAATAGAAAAATCATCCCGCGCGACAGATATTACTACTCACTTGGATACCCGATAAACCACTGCCATGTAAAATGTAAATTCCGTAGAAAACAGCAAAAAAAAAAAAAATCACACACAGGAATTGCGATCTCGAAGATAATCGAGGCACGGAGAAAAGTCAGAAAAAGAAAAGTAATTAAAAGCTCTAAACAGAGAAAGAAAAAGATATTGAACTTTAAATTTATAAATTCAGAGAGTGTTGAATTTAAGGTCTATCTAGTGATATATTATATGTATAGCGATGTAAGTCCCGGTGTGTATAAATGTACTCACGCGCACATTGATGCGCGGGAGTAGATTCATATTCAATAAAAAAAAGTCCATCCAAAAAGCGCAGACGAGGAAATAAGTAACGAATAGGTTGAAGATATCATCTCGATACAATTTTAGACTAATGAAGAAAGGAGGAAGGAAAAAGCAAGTCGAGACTATTCTAGGTAGAAGCAAGCATCTCAGTAAACGTAATTAGGTAGGGTGTGTATTTTAAGTATCCGTCAGGACGAGTTCGCGCGATCATCAGCGAGAGCCGCGTTAAATCGCGAGAGAAGGGAGAGTGCCGAGTTTAGGTAGTCGGCACTTTTAAGGCGTTCAGTGCTCCGTCTTTTTTCTTCTCGCCCTCGCGAGAAGAGATCTTCCTCGAGAGATAACCGCGTCCGTTAAGATGCGAGTCCACTCGCGACAGTTTTACGTAAGCAACTCGTATCCGAGTCCGATGACACTTTACACATCTGAGAAGAGCTATACTTGGGTTTACAGCCGCAAGTCGCTGCTGCAAGCGAGCGGTGGACCCGTAACTTCCGGAAGCTCGCGCGAACTCGGATCGACATATCGCGCGATGCAATTGCGTACTATCGAGGAAGGATTATTACATGCACATATATCTCTTCGATGGCTGATGGAATCGTGACCGTTTTGGAAAAGCGCCGTATTCTCTCCATTCCTAAATGATCGTGATTCGAGCCAACGGACATACTGCCAAACCATCGTATCAATGCGCGAAGGAACGAAAAAAAAAAGATAACGTATTATTTTTATATAATTTGTCATCTTTGTATTATTGTTACGATGGTTGAGAAGGGGACTTGTATAAAATACGGTAGATTGTAATTCGGAAATGAAAAGTTGCGCACACGACTCGCGTACAGCGGCATTTCAAACACTCACAGGATTAAACACACACGTTCATAGCGACATGATACAAGTTCGTCAAACGGATTCTTATTTGTCAGTAGAATTGTCATCATGCAACGCGATAGAAGTATGCATTGTGTTAGAGCGAAACTGCGATAATTCGCATCTTTAGCGGTATCGAACTTCTGCGAGAGAATCGTTCTCTGGATTTCGAATGTAAAAAATGATCAAGATTGCCGAATATTAAAAATTAGGAATGCATCTAAATTCTTTCCAGCCAAAAATACCAAATAGTCGAGATTTATGAGGAAAATAATTCGAATTTGGATTTGGATCTTGATTCTAATTTCGAGAATCTTAATTCAGAAATAAAACCCGAGTCTTTTTATAACAAAATTTGAAGTATTAAAGGCGAAGATCTCGCTTGACATTTTATTTCTAGGAAAGTCGTTCCATATTCTCAAAGAGCACATTCTTGAAATAAGTCTAAAAAAATTGAATAAGAAAATTAAATGAATTAAAACACTGTCCCTCTCTCATTTGACATTTTCGCATCCAATCAGTTCTAAATCGCGCGGATCTATATTTTCCATTGTTCATTCGAAATGCAGAGAACCTATCTGCAGAATGCAAAATACCAGATTGTAAAAAGATTTAACACTTAGATTGTGTCTCAGACTCGCTGACGACTATCGGGCTAATGACATTTCATCGATAAATGGTATGTGGCACTGGAGGATTAATTAGATTGTTAGAGAGCTAGAACTACGTAAAAGTAATCCATATCACTAAGAACACGAAATAGCGATTTTTTGTATTGAAGGCACTGGAAGAGAAAGAAAGAGAGAGAGAAAGAGAGAGAGAAAAAGAAAAAAGGAACAAGCTATTTCTCTCTCTCTTTCTCTTTCTCTTTCCGGATTGCGTTTTACGGACTGCACACATGTGATTACGATACATCCTACATACATACCCGACACATGTGGAGAGGAGTCCGTGAAAACGCGTATTTAGCTCAATCTTTCCTTTTTATATTTTGTAAATACAGCGGATATATAAAAATAAAAGTGGTGAACATTTTTATAGTTAATTTTATAATTTATTTACTATACGCGAATGAAAGAGACACACGGGGAGAAGGTCTCTTTTCATCGATTATCATCGCATAAATGAAATCGATGAAATTTAAGAATAAGATAGGGATGTATACATGCCACAGAGACACTCGTTACACACACGTATACATACACATAGAGACATACACGCGCACGATTGTAGATAATTTGTAACAGTTGCTATTGTCAAGTATCACATACACGTATAAAGCAACATATGCTGATATATATCATTGCGTATTATACTGATAACGATTAATAAAAGGTAATGTTGAAAATTGAAGCACCACCTATGCTATATTATTTTCCCTTCCTTCCCTCTTTGTAAAATTGCAAAGAACTCTCGTAACTCCTTAAAATAATCTATGCAAATAATATACAGGATGTCCCGAAACTATCGCTTCATATTTTAAAGGTAGATTCTCTGGTCAATTTAAAAACATTTTTTTCCTCAGCGAAAATGTCGAAGGACATCATTATTTTTTTGCATATTCCCAATTTTTGTCATGATGTATCTTTTTAACTAAGCCTTAAATTAAAATTTTATTAAAGTAAACTCTACCTAAAATTAACTAAAGAATGTGACTTTATTAATATTTTATTCCTATAAGGCTTAGTTTGCGAAAACCCCTTTATTTTCAATCATTTATTTCGAAAACTATTAGTGCCTCGACATTTTCGCTGAGGAAAAATCGTTTTTAAATTGGCCAGAGAATCTGCCTTTAAAATATGAAGCGATAGTTTCGGGACACCTTGTATAAGTATATAAATCCTACATTAAATTTGATGGATAAAGTCAAAATCTTATCTCTAATTTTTATTAGTGCACGAAAATTATACAATTATAAATAAATGCTTGTACAAGAATTGCATATTTTAATAATTATTAAAATTGTTATTTGTAAACATAGAATATTGCACATTTTAAATATATCGATTTTAATCCGCACTAATTATCACTTCCTTATTTATTTCTACTTAATTAAATTTGTTTCAGAAAAGTAAATTTGAGAATTTTGAGAATTTATATAAAACTATAATTAACCACATCCTCCCTTTTTACAACAAGTACGTTTCGGAGGCCGATATCCACGAGCATTGTCACCCATTAAGGGATTATATTCTGCAAATAAGTAGTGGATTTTATATATATATATATATATATATATATATTTCATTCCTTGTACACTGCATGACAATGATCCTGTCCTAAACAGGGCAAGGGGAGCATAGAACTGGCCAATCAACTGGCAGTAAAGCAGAGGCTGATTCTATGGCCAGTTCTATGCTCCCCTTGCCCCGCATAGGATAGGATCATTGTTGCGCAGTACGTTTGCTATCCAATATTTATCTCAAATATATAACTTAATAAAATTTTACCTGATTTAAACTTTGATTTTGTACTTGTACTAGGTTTTTCATTATCCATTGCATTACCTAGCTTGGTACCTACATTTTTATTTTCCAATAATTTTAAAATCTTTTGTCTCTTCTTCTCCTTCTCCTAAACAAAAAATAGATTGTTTAAAAATTTAACAAAATTAGTGCAATAAAGTATGCCTAATGTATCAAGTAGCATATAATAAGACAATGAGATACCTCTTCCTCTTTAACTTGTGCCAAAATACAACTCTTATTGTATGCTTCTTGCATTTTCTGTCGCGCTAGCTCTACATTAGCCGATAGTTGTGGTAATTCATCAGTCTCTAGACAAATATAACAAATGTGTCACATAAATTTATATTACAAATAAATTATATATTGACCGGCATTCAGAAATTTCTATTTTTTTAAATAAATTATTGCCTCACTTTTACCAATTGCAGCATCATCCTGCTGATTTCTCGCAAGTTTCCAGTTTTTATACTTCTTTTGAATAAGTGGAAATGTATAATATAATACAATCACGAGTCCTACGATATACCAACCCATGGAAGCTATCGGGGTCCAAACTGATGACATGAAAAATGTTTTGATTACTTCGTGACACGAAATGTATATACAGGGAATAGGAAATGAAAATAATTACAGAAATGTCAACAAGAGTACGAGGTTATTAACCGTGTTAGTCGAAATTTTCGCGTATCATTACGATACATACTCGTTTGGAAATAGCTCGGACGATTGTCGACGTACTCCATATCCTTGTTCAAGATAAAATTTTTGAAAACATTAACTGACATTAACTAACATGTCACGATCCGCTACGCAATAATAGCCTCCCTTTCTCTTCACTCTGCCATTCTGGCAATCAGAAGTGTGTTCAGAAATCCTACTCGTGGGATAGAATAGCATTTTAATTGACCAATCAGGATCAAGAAACTTTGCTCTTTTTTTCCTGATTGGCGAATTAAACGCTAATTTACCTTACAGGTAGGGTTTCTGGACGCATTTAAATTTAATACAGTTTTTTGAGAATCTAACTTCGCCGCGCGAAATTCTTATGCCGATAATTAGCGACATGAAATAATTTAAATAAACTTAGTGCAAAGTAAATGTTGCCAAAGATTTATTTCAATCTAAAAATGATGGTTAGCTCATAAATGCAAAGCAAAAACAATTTTTTTTTAAAAAGAAGAAAATTGGCTATCTCCCAAAAAATTATCCATGTATAATCATATATACATAAATATATATATAATTACATTATGTATATTTATATATACGACATATATATTATATATAGAATGTCTACGTATAATATTGCTTTCTTCATTACCACTATACCTTATATTATTTATTAATTTGTAAAAAAATATGAATAATTAAAAATTAAAAGAGAATAATTTTTAGATTAGAAAAAGCTTACGATTATATTATTCAATATATTATATATATTTATATGTGTGTGTGTGTGTGTGTGTGTGTGTGTGTGAGTGTGTGAGATACTATCAAAGTTTGATTGGAAATATTTACATTATTTATCTTATATATAGCATTAACCTTAACTTAATATCCATATTTATCATTAAGACTTGTTCTGCCATCTCCAGATTGATTTTGTGGTGGTGTCCATGTAGAATAATCTTCCGAGTGGACATCTTGATCGTATTGCTTTTTCATAATTTTCGATTTCTCCATTTTTTTATCTTTTCTTCGTTTTTTATCATCTACAATCTTTGCGTTTCGTTTATCTGGTTCTGTATCGATGTTTTTTAAAGTACACAGTTCGTCCTTGGTTTTAATGCAATTCTGCGATTTTATTTCTTCCATGAATAGCATAGATTTTTTGGTCGTATCAAGTTCGACTTGTTCTTTCGTATTATCTTCGCTTTCTTCTTCATTTTCCTCTTCTTCGACATTATCTATAGCATTATTACTATCTAAAGTTGACAATTGTGCTCTTGCAAAATCGTCTTTATTCTGAAAAATTATATATTTTATACATTTTTAAAAAATTATAAATAATAATAAAGAAGTACTTTAGATTAAAAGGAACAAAATAATAAAATAGATAACTTACCTTTGCTTCAAAAAGTTTTTTTCTTTTTTCAAGTTGAGAAATTTTCTTCACGGAAGCTTTTGATTTTTGCTGCAAATCGTCCTTTTTATCTTCTGCCTGGACTTGGCTAATAAGAGGCGGTAAATTGGCCGGCTTTGTAAGATTTATTAATTTAACTAATTTTATTTCTTCTTTATGAAGGTTTTGCAATTCCATCTTTGTTTTTATTATATCGCTTTTACTTAAAGAAGATGTATTTAGATTAGACATAAAAGCATCCAAAGAATCCTGGTTAGATTCTGCCGCTTTAGTATTACTTTCTTGTGCCTCTTTTAAACGATTAGTCAGATGCGAAATTTTATTCATCATATTGTTATGTTTTTCAGTCTGAAATATAAACAATATGTTTAATTGGAAATATATATATATATATATATATATATATATATATATATACATACATATATATATATATATATGTATGTATAGTATTTTAGATAAATAAACAAGAAGAAATAAAATTACATTACCAATGAATTATAAGTTTCAATTTTTTCTTCAAATTTTCCAGCTAGTTTCATTCTCTGCTCACGTTTCTTTTCTACTATTCCGGTTCGATCCAAAAAGTTATCTTCATCTGAATCATAATAATCTTCCTCTTCCCAATTTTTTGCTTTCTTTCTTCGACTCTCTAATGAATAATGTCAATATTAATAACTAACAAATATAAAGCGTTAAGTAAACTTGCATATATCAAAAGTAATATTTATAATATTACCGTGATTAGCTTGTCTTAATAATCCATGCCTATCTAAGATTCTGCAGGCTTCCAAAGCACATTGAATGACGGATTCCTTCTTCTTCCCTTTAACAAGAGCTTCCGCTTTTATGGAACGACTGCCAAAACATTCTTTAGGCAAACTAAAATTTTTAAAAATTTTTATATAATATACAAAAGAAAGTATCAAAATTAACTTAAACATAATTTTAAAGCAACTCTGTTGAAAAAGTAGGATAATAAAATTATATTATTAACGTAACTTAGCTTATATAACTAACTTACTTTATCCAACATAAAAATTGTCCTATCCCTTTTTCTTCTACTTGATATTGCAAATCATATCCCTCTCTTTCAAACCATCCTCTCAGTGTTTTTTTAGGATCATCTAAATATAGTTCTTCATCTACCATAGAAGCATAAGGATTTTCTGTGAGGTCCGTTTCCTCATCAGCATCTTCTCCCATTCCCCAATCAATACCCTCATTTTCTGCTGCCTGTTTTGCTCTCTCTTCAGCCTCTTCTTCTTCTTCTTGTCTAATCTTTCGTTCTCGCAACTCTTCCAATCGTTTTTCCTGTGAACAGATATGCTTAAAAATCTTGTCTTTCCACCAAGAATATAATAATTAGTAGCAAATTATTTATTATGACAATTGATTACATATAAATAAAAGTTACAAACCTTCAGTTGTGTAACTGATAGTTCAGATTCCTCTTCTTGATCATTTGGTGCTTGTAGTATATATTTTCTCTGACTACCGCCTAATTTAATTATATGCCCATCATGTAATCTGACATAGGTTCTCGGTTTTATACGATGTCCATTCCAAAATGTACCATGAGTGCTTTCCAAGTCATACAAATAAAAACCTTTAGAGTTCTTCTCATCTTCCACCATTCTGTATTGAATAATTGCATGATATCTTGAGATAGTCGGATGAGCAAGAGACAGATTACAAGAAGGTAATCTGCCTAACAAATAAAAACTTCTTTTGGTTAGATCAATCTTCTCTAGAATTACACCAGATTTGAGAACTTCTAACTTATACTCCTCTGTTGGTTTCCCACCCCAATTCGGTTCCAAATATACAGGAATATTTTTTGCATCAGATAAAACATTCGTTTCTACAGAATTCTCCAAGATTGACTTGTCGCCCTTATCTTTATTATCACCTTTTTGTAAATCGAGAGCTTTGATCACTCCATTATTCATAGATAAGAATTCAGAAGATGAAAGAATTACATTATCATTCACTATATGAGACTTTTCAATCTTACTCCGCTTTGGTTCAATCAGTAAAAGCGGCTTCTTAAATCCTGATTCTTTGCAAATATCATCCGTTTCATTTGGGGAGGATTCAGACATGTTTTCTGTTCGTAATTTTTCAGTGCTTTGCTCATTACATGCTGATGACTCGGACATTGTTTCACTATTCTTTATGTCACTGTCACTAATCATAGAATCATCCTTTGGAAGAGAAATTATAGAATCACTTTCCTGTTCATTTGCTTGCATGGTAATCTTGTCAAACTTTATGCTGGAAAACAATCAAATATCAAATTCTTATTATAATAATCACTGTCAATCACACTTTGTATTATTCTTTAAAAAAACGCATTTAGCGTTTATGTTTTGGTTGTAGTCATGTTAAGTATTGCAAGAAAGAAACTTGGAGCAGCCATGTCGCTTTAACCTGCTAGGAGTGCGTTCGGAAATTCTACCTATGAGCAAAGAGAAGACTGAGAAATGTCATGGCCTGCTTTTAGGTGATCCCTGAAACCGATACTCCCTCTAGACATTAAAAACGTGAACTTGAACTACGAAGCCAATGCCATGAATGTTCTCAGAGGGTAATATCGTTATCATATCGTTATCGTATCTTTATCATATCGTATCGTTATCATATAGTTATTGTATCGTTATCGTATCATATCGTATCATATCGTTATCGTATCGTTATCGTATTGTTAACGTATTGTTATCATACGGTTAACGGAGATTCCCTATTTTAATTTTTATTCGCAGTAATAAATGATTGCGATTCGATAAAGATTTATCGTTGCAATATAGTTTATTATATTGAGTCAAATTCAATACTAATTAAAATGCTCATTAAATGCTATATTCATTTATATTAACACGAATTATAAGATCGAAAAATTAATATAATTGAAGTCGTGAATTGTAACAATCGTTTAATTATTAATTCGATAGTATACAAAATATTTCGTATCACTATCTTTGTTCAAGTGTCACTGTGCGAATAATACCAAAGTCATGGCACGTAAACATTAGCGCCCTATTGTTTACGTCGCCAAAATGTTATTGTCTGTTCGCGTCATCGAAATATTTTACGTACTTCAACAAATATATGCGCGGAATATTAAACTATAGAAATATTATAGATTATATAAATTAATAACAATTATTTATTAAAAGATTAATGTATCCTTTATGGAACTTTTCGTTGTATGTTAATTATTTAGACAATTCTACCGTTCGATATTTTAAAGTGCGCGTTTTTAATCTGAATTATACTTAAATGATTGAAAAATAGATGAAACGTCAAAAACAAATTATATTAAACTCTACATAAACATCAATAAAAAATAATTTCTGCTCGTAAAAATTGATTTCATATCAATTAAATCAAAATTGGCACATAAAAGCCAAAGCGCGGTAGTTGGAGCGAAGAAACAACTTATTAATTGTTGTTTATATCAAATTAAAAAACTACAAAACGAACGTTTCGAATCGTCTTTGAGCCTTCCTCAGCGCGATTAATATAATATAAAATTATATATACATATATATATATATATATATATATATATATATATATAATATTATAATTCACATAGTATTTTATTATAGTCTTCATTGCTGCAATATTTTTTATGTTTAATGCTCTATATTATATAATACAGTGTACTAAATAATAAAGTATAACATAATTACAAAATACATTATTATTATTATTAGTAAATTTTATAATTCTCTTTACAAGTTGTCTTCTTATATGTGTAATTATTATGCGTCTCTGTCCAATTTCTTGGAGTCTTTGGATTGTTATCGTATTGCCTCGTTCTAAAACTGTAGAAATGCTTCTTGTGATGTCCATTATATCTTCTGTGGCCATTTGTCTTCAGGCATTTTTAACAAATATTCAAATTGCTGAATTCTTTTTTTTTATTATTTCGATTATTGTTTCTTTTGCTTTATTTTACTCAAAAATATTAATAATTCATTTTATTCAACAATATTGATATAATAATATAATAAATATTATTATATAATAATTAATATGCATTAATTAATATATTAATATAATAAACAATTAATATGAATAAATAATATAATAACTTTGGTATCTCTCTTAGTCTGACTCTTCCCCTTCGACCTGTCCGGCATGGCTGACCCTACCGGTAACTACGGCCGGTATTCATAATTCACTTTTATATTTAAGATCATCTTAAGTAGTTGGAAAATGTTATATAACTATTTATATAACTATTTATTATATAACTTGTTTTATTGTTATTTATTATATAACTTGTTTTACTAACTAAACGGAATCTTAAGAAACAATCTAAGATCATACTTAAGATTATCACAAATATAAGAATAGTCTATATGAATATCGGCGTATGTTACCGTCGGCATAGCTCTTAGGTTCATTAGAGTACTCAAACCTCCTCACCCGGCAAATGCCTTCGTTAAGGTAGAGATACATCGAGGAGGAAAAATTTGTTTTTATTTTATTTTTATTTTCTTTCAATACAGGGTTTGGTAGTTACGAAAGTTAATATAAAATATAATTTGAAATTTAATACAAAATAATTTATTACATGAAATAATTTATTACACGAAAATATTCAAAATATACGTATAATATAAAATTTATTAAAAATTTTTACAGTCTAAACGTAACTGATTAGCGATGATTAATTACGCAACATTTATCATTAATAATCGATATGCAATGATAAAATTTAATAAGTTTTATGTAAATATAGTATATTTAATCGTGATTAGAAGAGTCATTAATAAAATTATTGATCATTTTTTCGATTGCAGAATAAAGTATTTGCATTACTGGCGCATTTTGTGTAGATTATCAAAGGAAATATTCAAAATACGAAAAAATAAAATAAGCTTCGATGTAAATCAACAATTAACTAAATCGCGATTTAAAATTCGCGAGAAAACGCGAATAAATAAATCGATAATAATCAGAATATTCGATTACGAGAAATATACGTATAATTTTTATGATATGATAATCAAAACCATTAATAGATACGCGCGCGACATAATTATTATCATATAAATGACGATACATGAAGATATTTTGATAAACATTTGTGGTCCGTATTGTTTATGAACAAAAAATTCATTGTCCAATTTATTTGTGATTAATACGCGATTTTATACAAATTTCGCGATTGAGATTAAAATACATATTCTATCTCGCGCATGATTAGCTAAATAAAATGAGCTTTATAAGCTTTAAAATAAAATTAAAAAATCGCGTTATCGCCACGTTCAATAGAGAATTGAATGATTTTATCAAGGTCCCTCTTATAATAATAATCGATGTAACAATAGAATTTAATAAGATTTATCTGATATAAACAATCGCGATTAAAACAGTCATTAATAAAGTTATCAACCGTTTTTTAATTATAGAAAAATATATTTATATCATTAGTGCATTTTACGCGAATTATTAAAGACAATATTCAAAGACATGGAAAGATAGACAAAGCTTCGATGTATAAGTTAACGATTAAATTATAAGATAATATTAAATTAGATAAATCGCGATCTAAAATTCGCGATAAAACGTTATAAGATATGCGACGAATAAATAAATCGATAATATTCAAAATATTCGATTGCACATAATTTTTAAAATATAATAATCAAAGTCACCAGATACGCGAATGACATACTGATAAAAATATCCGATAAAAAAAAGAGCGATTTTAAAAATGGAGAACGATTAACATCTTGTTTCTACATCAAGTTTTGCAAGATCAATCTATGAAGAAAAGTTAAGTGATCTATTGAACTTCGGGAACTTCATTGTAGGAGGAAACGAATCCTGGATCTTTCGGACTATTCCCGATAGCAATGATTTCAGTAATATATCAACGACAAAACAATTATCCCTCGTCATTATCTTCAATTCATGAAATTGATATGCACGTCAGAAAACATGTTCTTTCATTATTAAGAAATATATTTCCTTATTAAAAATTAAATGGATATAATGATTTTTTTATAAAAATGTGATTACGAACGATTATATTTATAAATAATAAAATACATGCATCACTGGAGTTTGTGTTAAAAGTGCGAACACAATAATTTGGAGTACCGTTCGCGCGCGCAAGATAAATCGAATCCGATATCAGCAAGATTTAAGAAATTTCAATCCGAATAGTATGCAAAATAAAATAAATTAAATAATTTTAAATAATTAATTCCAGATTAATTCTCTAGAGTCTTATTCTTATAACGTTTAAACTCATAATTTTTTTTCTTTTAATCAATATCTTATTGATATAAAGGTACCCATTCGATTTGTCTCGAAATTTTCAAGTATTCGCACATTTTATGTAACATTCATGTATAATTTCGCGTATGTATAATATATAACATTAATAAAAATTATTAAAATATTTTGGATACGTGAATTTGTGCATGTATTTTATTATACATATGTATAAAATGGTATATATCTAAAAACTAATATTTCAAAATGGCGATGGATGTCCAATACCTGCAAATAGTTTCTTAAAAGAAACTAAAAATTAATGTTAATATCCCCAGTACCTAGAAATAATTTTTCAAAAGAGAGACAAATTATATTAATTAAAAATATATTCGTTCGTAATCATTTTTATTAAAAAATTAATAAAAATTAATCACAATGAAATTATTAATCACAATGAAATTATTTGAAAAATAAAAATTTATACACAACGCCATATCCATATTTAATCTACTATTAAATCTTTCTGGTATTAGATAATAATAATACCAATTCTAATAATGATAGAACATTCTTAACGAAGAAAAGAAAAGATACATTTCTCTCATTTAAATATATATAAATATATAAATATATATATATATAAATATATATTATTTAAATTAATTCGATTTTAAAGAAGCGTATGGCGTTCGTCGTTGAATTATTATCAAAATCGTTGCTTTCGGAAATTGCTAAGAAAATCTGGAATTAGTTCCTTCAATCTTACAATAAAAATTCCCAATTTTCAATAGGACACCAAACTAGAACTAGACTTCGCGAATGAATCTCATTAGAACCCGTGAAAAATAATTCTCCATGATGAAAATCGTTTCGACTCCTCGGTGATACGAGCCACGCAACTTTCATTTATTTAACGGAAGGAACAATGATAACTCTTTTGTCTAAGAACGCGAAATAGAACGTGAGAAAAACACGGTGTTTTCGCAACGATAATTTATTAATTTATTTATGAATATTTTCCGATACTGAAAAAATAAATTATTTAATTCATAATAATTAATTCGCGATCCTATAATATCAAAGGTGATCGTTAAATTTTGTGAAGCTAATATTTAATCGTTGACTTATCACATCGAATCTTCACTCTCTTTTTCGACATTTCTTTATATTTAATTAGCAATATTTAGGAATTATCTGACGAGAGGGACAACGATAAAATTCTTCTGTTAAAATGATAATTTTATATAAGTACGCGAAGAAAACGCGGAAAGAACACGGTATTTTTGCAATCATAATTTAATAATTTATTTCAAGAATATTTAGTTCCGCGCGATATGGAATTCATAAAAAAAAGCTAACGTAAAACATATCATTAAATTTATAATAATTGACTCGCGATTCTGTAACGAAGGCGTCGGTTAAATTTTATAATGCTTATATTTAATCATTAATTTAGCATCGAATTTACATATTTTATATAAAAATTTTCCGAATTTATTAATGACTCTTTGATATGAAAATACAAACAGTTACTCTTTTATGAATATTTCAAAAATATATACTTCAGAAACAAATACTTTAATTTAATGAATTGATATTATGTTAATTACTATTATATAATCATTATACGTATACTTTCGATAATTTTTCGTATAATTTACATAAGAATTTATAATCGTAAATACAATTTCACATAATATAATCATAGTTATAATTGTATTGTATTTTACAATTAAAATATCAATGTTAAATTATAATTAAAATACAATTATAACTATTTATAATTTACAATTTACAAATTTATAATTTACAAATTTATGACACTATCAATATCAAATAATAATATTCCATTTATTCAAATATTTAATAACATCGATATAATAATTTGATATTGATAACATTAACATTTAGATTTAATATTATATTTGATTTAATACATATATATTTTTAACTTTTAAAATAAAATATAACATGTTATGTTATTTCTTAAATGTTAATAATTATACAATTTCTTTAATATTTTTGAAGATAATGTTGATAATTTAAATTTCACTTTTAAAACATTTTTATTTTTAAAACATGTTATATTTATTTTTACAACGTTTTTAAAAATAAATTCAACTTAATTAAAATAATTTTAATTAGAATTATTGGAATATTAAAAATAAGAATGAATCTTATTTAACAGCCCTAACAATCCTACTATTAAAGGATTCTTTTAGGATAATTTTAATAACTCTAACAATCCTACTATTAAAGAATTCTAATGATCTTAGATCCCTATCAACCCTACTTCCAGATTAACTAAAATTATTCGAGATTTTAAGAACCTATCTCTAATCATCACTTCACCTAATCATGTATATATATTTTAGTCATGTGTCCTAACCGCGTGCCCTAACCGCGTGCCCTAACCGCGTGCCCTAAACGCGTGCCCTAACCGCGTCCCCTAACCGCGTGCCCTAATCGCATACTCTAACCGTACTCTTCAGACCAGTTGAACCTACCTTTCGTTGATCCTGGCTACTTTTTTTCTCGATCTCTAATCAGAGATCGAAGAAGGAGATAATTACTCCTTCTTTTGCCGGATAATTTCCGGCAAAAGAGCGTGAAATATTTACGCTCATTTAGTAACGATCGTTCGATTTCACGATCGCTCGTTAAATACTGAATATAACTTTATTTTAACTGAAATAAAGCCAAATTACTACAAATTTCTATAAATTATATCTTATAATAAAGTATATAAATAATGTGTGTATATTTATCATATTACAAATTATTTAGCTAATTAATCATTTGGCTTTATATTAAGTTAAAGTAAAGTTTAAAAACAATATCTACAAACAAATTCTACGATGGATGAGTTATGAGCAATTAGAAGATAAGTGCGTATTATAAGAATAAATTAGCATCAAAAATTGATAAAATTGATAATTGTTAATGCATGTTCTTTAATAAATTAGACAAAAAATCTTAACAAAAATTTCTTTTCTTGATCTCTTCTTTTTTTAATTAATATTTCAATATATTTTGGCAATAGATTCAAAGCATCTATTAATTTAATTTAATAATATAAGCATTAATTTAATTTAATAAAATAAGCATCTATTAATTTAATTTAATAATATCTAATTAATTTAATTTAATTTATTTTATTTAATCCATCCTAACTCATCCATTTTAAGGCAACGGATTTATCTACAATCTATAATCTACAATCTACATCTACATCTACATCTGCAATCTCTACACAGAGAAAAATATCATTCTACTGCCAAGAAAAGCGATTACTCAATTTATTTTTCTTTTTTTAAGTAATAGTTTTCTTCAACAAAGAATATCTTCTTGATATAATAATTCTTGATAATAGTCTTAAAATATACTTATCACAAGTATTAGAAAATCACATTATCATGTACTCAAAGGAAGAATTTATTTTCTCTTCAAGAATATTGTAAAGTTATATCAAAGAAAAATCAAATTTATTTTATGTCAACTCTAATAAACAAACCAAATTTTCGTTTTAATTTAATATTCTTACTAAAATATTGCACTTACTAAAATTTAGAATATATTCAATTAAATTTAATGCTTGTGGTAAACTTATGATATATTTGCGAATATACAAACTTGTGATATACTTAAAATAAATAAATATTTTACTTGAATACAGTATACATTTTTCTCTGTGTACGAATCCGTTACCTTAAAGTTAAATAAAAATTTTTTTCACTCACCGGCACTGATGCGCAACAGCGGAGTTGTTGTTATCGAAGCTAGTTGTCTGTAACATACAAGTATAAAATTTATTTATGATAATGCTCACAAAATGCAATTAATATTTAAAACAATTTTTATCGTACGGAATATTTCCGATGTGTAAAATAATAAGCAGATAAACATGTATGGAAAAATTTTATAAATTTTTAAAACTGTTTTTAAGAAAGTTTTTTAAAAATTCTTATATAACTTTTATAAAAATCTTTCTCTCTAATTTTCTCTTTAATTCATTTAAATAATAAGATCGAATTATTATGCGTACAATTTATAACAATTGATATACAAATAATAAATATTCACCATCAGGTTGCTCCGCCGATGCAAGATGCCTCTCCCAGGCCTCCTCCTCCTCTCATGTTGTTGACGAGCGATACTTTCAACGGCACTCCCGCACTCACGAGCGATATTTTTATATCGCTATTTTCGTTATTTTACGCGCGATACTAAACGGCACTCCCGCACTCACGAGCGATATTTTTATATCGCTATTTTCGTTATTTTACGCGCGATACTAAACGGCACTCCCGCACTACATTGGTATTCGGATTAAAAATTTGGTCGCGCGATGTATATATTTAATATATATATACTTTCAACGACACTCCCGGTACGAGCGAAAATCTCATTTCATTTACGAGACTTAACTTTGAGCCAACAGGTCGGGAGTGCAACGATACAACGAGCAAAGATTAGGCCCGAACCGGAAAGAAGACGAAACGATTGAGGAATAGAGGAAAATAAAGTTCACCAG